GGGGGGGGGGGGGGGGGGGTTACGCACAGCAGCTATGGCAGTTTAGCTCACAGGGGTGCCACCGAGATAGCGAATGCCATCGAAAAGGCCGAGGCAACAGCGGCAACAGCAGCAGTAACAACAACAACAACAGCAACAACAGCAACCGACATCAACATTAACAGCAACAACAACAACAACAACAACAACAACAACAGCAACAGCAACATCCACAACATCGACGACAACGCCGACATCCAAATGCAACGCACCGCCGTCCCCTCGGAGGGAAAGTCTCCCTCGGGAAAGTCGTAGCCCCGAAAGTCCTTGCCCCTGCCCCCCCCGCCGCCGGCGCTCACGCCTCTCCGCGCCACCTTCGCGAAGAGCTTGTCGCCCGGCCTTGGGTCGTGGATGTGGAACACCTTTTTCGGAATTGGTACGGGTAACGGTACGGTACGATCATTCCACGGGGCGAAGCGTGGTGAGCGAGAACCCCACAACAACGAAAAATCCGACTGTCGTGGTAATATCTCGAACGGGTAGTCTTTCTTTGATTGTATTCATTTTCTTGATAAACGATCGGCTTGTGTGTGTTCCACGGTACGTGCGTCCCAGGGTGTGCTCGGATTGGTTTACGGTTTACGGTTTACGTTCCGTGAGGTACTTGACGCGTCGGGTACGGGTACACACTAGCACGTACGTGCAGTACCCGCCGGACCGCCGGGCGTCATGATTAGATGGCGATGTGAGGCACTGGCTGCCCTTAAGAACCAATTCGTTCTCGTTTTTCCATTCCGTGGGATGGCGGGATGTTCCGCGAGCAAGAACCGGACAACCCAAAGAAACGAGCTTAAAAAATATGGAGGGCAGCACCACGACAACCACAAACGTTCTACCGAAATGAAAACCCCACCGCCCCTCCCTAACGTACGTCCCTGGCAAAAAAAACAGCGCGTCAATGCTCTCTGACCGGCATCAATCACATCGCAGGTGACGGCACGAAAGTTATCAGTATCTGACGTCAACCGGTTGCACTGCTCAGACACGTCATCAGTGCCCCAGGGGGAGTGGCGGGGCCGGGGGGGGGGGGGGGCGAATTACACTTCGCGGCGGTACCGACCAGTCCGTCCACATGCAGGACACGGCTCGTGAGTTGTTTGAGTACATCTACGCTCGCCAGTTGTGTCCATCGATCAATCCAAAAAAGTGCACCTCTCATCCTACCTACACTGCCAGCAAAGTTGGTCAACGTGGCGCTGCGGTGCACGCTACACAGCTGTCGGCCCCGCCAGGCTTACTCACACCGTGCTCTCTCGCCCTACCAACTCTTCGGGCGCAATTTCCGGTGCAGTAGCCGACCCTGGCTGACATCAACACACCAAACGACCCCATCCACCCCCGAACGTACAGCGTACGTTCCACAAGCACCTCTAGCACGGCACTTCCACGTACGTCTACACGACACACAGCCTCCCCTCAACTCCTGCTCAACCCCTTTTGTCCACCAAGTTTCCCTGAATCGCCGTCTCACCTCCTTCACCATCCCCTTGCCCCGCTCGCTCAGCCAACCCCCGAGCATCTTGCTCCCGCTACCCCCGAACGACACAACGTAGTACGTCCTTGGCTTCGCGTCCAGCGTAAACCCGCCTCTGGGACCGGACCACCCATTCCCAGCCCCCGCTGCGTGTGACACCGCCGCCGCCGCCGCCGCCGCCGCCTCGACGCCATCCATCGACCCGTCCCTCGCCGCCCGGTGCATGAGGACCGCGAACCCGCCGCCGTTTCTTTTGTCACCGCTGCGGTTGCCTACCGCCCCGTCCCACGGAGCCCAGCAGCATTCGCAGTATTTTTTTTCGTTGAAGCAAACATGTTGGGAAAAGCATGCAATAGGGGAAGTTGGGTTAGGGTTTAGGGGTAGGGTCTGCGTTACCCCCCCCCCGTTCTGTTTCCCCGTAAACTGAATTTATCGCGAAGGCGATCCCCCCTCCCCCCCCTGGTACCGCCTCCTTACCGCTGCCGCTCGAATGGCCGTCTCCGCCGCCGCCCCCCAGAGGGAGCATCACGTGCGTGCATTCCTGGTAGAGGTTGCACGCGCGAGCAGCTCGCTCGCAGCGCTCGAGGCCGCCGCCGCCGCCACCGCCCGCCGGGGCACCGCCTATCGGTGTCACGGCCACTCCCCCTCCCCCGATCCGGTCTTCCGGCCCCCGGGCCTCAACCAGTTGTCTCGCGCCCGAAGCGGTCGAGGAGGAGGAGGAGGGCGGAGAGCAGGACACCACGCACGGCCCGCTGGTGGACCACGGTTTCAACCTCTGCTTGCGAGCGGCGGCGGCGTTGCTGCCGCCGCCGCCACCGCGGTGCCCCGGGCCGGGGGCGTCGTCCGCTTCCGTCAATGAGCAAGGGAAGTGGCCGACGGCCGACTCCGCCTCCGAAACGCCACCGATACTCCCGCCGCTGCCAGCACCCACATCAGAAGGCCACCGCCAGCTGTTCATTCCCGTGCCGCTGCTTCCGCCACCAGCCTCGTTAGCTGGCCGCAGGACTGCCACCTGCAACGGAGCGTCTCGCCCCAGGGGGGTTGGTGGTTGCGATGGCGTAGGTGGCGTTGGCGGCGTCGGCGGGGACAGGGGGCGTACCGGACCCGTGGTCTTGTTCGTCCACTTCCAGCCCCCGCTCCCGACCATGGTCTCTTCGCCCGCACCCCCTCCGCTACGACCATCGCCACCACCAACAGCACCACCAACAGCATCAGGTCTCTTGGTACCGCTAGCGTCAACGTTGCCGCCCGGCCGCCCAACAGAGGCGACATATATATCCGGCCCTGCCCCGCCCTCGCTTCCGCCCGTACGCTCCGACACTTTGCCCTGTGGAGCGGGGGGGCGAAGGCTGTGTTCCGGTAGTCCGTTGTCGTCGTCGGAGGTGTGGAGGACTCCCCCATGAGCGAGTTGAAACTACGAAGAAGCAGGGGATGGGGGGCAGGGAGCCAGCCAAAGTAGTTACATACAAAGCACGCTTGCTGTCTTTTGAGTCAACACAGCAACTCGAGGTCAATATATCTTACGCCATTTTTTGTCGTCAACTCTCGGGAGTGTGTTTCTGTATCTAGACCACAGCGGCCCCGCCTCTATCGTCACTTATTGTTAACAAACAACTGTAGCTCCCACCCTCCATCAATGATGATGGTGATGGCCTACGGTGGGACTGAGTCATCATTGATACACAATTGTATGGAGGACGCAGGGAATCCTGATGTGCCAATTCAATGTACAAATGATACTGCTGTGCTTCGTAAGCTGGGTTTTAAGGAAATATGCATACAATCAAAGAAAGACCATCCGTTCAAGATCAAACCACACGGCAGCGAAGGGGATGTGTTCCAGTCATTGCAGTTGAAGCTGGATTTGCACTCCCTAATGCGAGAGAAGGTGCGGAGGAACCCGGGAAAACATGTCCAACACATCATAACTGGCGGGGTGACTTACAAAGTCTACACGTGGATTCACGCTTGAAGTACGAACTCACGAAGTCGATGCAGGCAAGCTGCTCAACCGCGACAGCACTGCATGCCATCCCATCGCCATGGGCTGGTACTGCTGTGCGGTGACACCGAGACTAGCCTCATCTTGCGGGCGCCTTGAAATGAGGGGAAAAAAGAACCGTCCGTCCTCAAATAAATATCTTTGTCCGCAACAAAACAGAAACTGTTCAAGATCACAACGCCCAGCTCTCTCTCTTTGTGTCTTGAGGTTCTCGGCGTTGACCCTTACGATGTACTCCGCTGCTGCGGTCCGTACAAAACAAACAAACCTTGGCTCGACGTTCGCTGTAGGTGCAGACGTTGACGATGGTCAACACCAAGAGAGTCGCGACGCCTAGAACCTCCCACGTGCACAGCGGGTGGGATCGGGGCGTCTGCGGCTGGCGGCCTCGCCGTCCGGTCGAGGAGCTTGGCGGCAGCGACCGTCGTTGCTGCATCACAGACAGATGACAGACGTTGCCGCGCTATGCACTTTGTACACAGCAGCACCAAGGCAGCAAGGTTCCAGGTTCCAAGCCCAGCCAAGTCAACCCAAGGGCCACTGGGGGGGACTGCGATTGGGACCTGGGGGGTCCGCACATTGTGATGCACGCGCGCTGCACGATCCTGTTCGTTGCGTACCGAACGCGAACCGTGAGCTTTTATACCACGGTAGGTAGACTTTCTCCAGAAGGCTTCCAGAGGCTGAGAACTCTTGCCAACTTCGTTTGATGTCGAGGGACATCCACATTTTGTTCGTGTGTACACAGGGAGCGACCATGATTGATTTCCAGATTTCCACAAGATATGGTCTAGATGAAATATGTGTTTTGATCCCAACTCGTGCACAGAAATGTTTGCGCGACACGAACAGTTCAACGGCCGCTAGGTATCAACCAGGGGAACCACACGGCACTTGTGTACTGCGTTTCTGGGCCCTCATTCCCATAGAATGGGTCTTGATGGTGCTGCTTATTGTGTAGGTGGTGGCGTGTCAAGCTGCGGTAGCATACCTGAGGCAGGCATGGGGCAGGCATGAGGCCGGCATGAGGCCGGCAGCCTCGACGCGTCGATGGATACGAAATGCGGTTCCGCTCTGCGTGCTCTCGCCACTCTGTTCGACGTCTCTACCACGTTGTCGTCGAACGTGTTTCCGCCCCCTCTCCTGGGGCGGCCGCCTCCGTTCTCCTCTTTGTTTGTGCTCGTCGTGAAGTGGAAGCAACCATTCGCTCCTTGTTGTGCACGCTGGAGCCCTGGAATGCTACATCGTAAACGAAGTACTACGTACGCTGTACATAGCTGCGCATGCATCATGCATACATACATACATACAAGATATCCTGCATTTCTTTTCAATTTGTATGATTGGTTGGTGAAAAGGGGGGAACAAAAACCGTCACCCATAAACGGTTTTTAATGTGAAGACAACAACAACAACATAAACAGTGAGTCGGTCCTGGTGTCGTGGTGTGCAATCATTCTAAGATATTTCCCAAAACCAGGAGCACGTGTCGTTCGTTCCTTCTTCGTGGGTCACACACCGCCAAGAGGACCAAACACGCGCTGAGTCGACCACAAGAAGACTCGATCCATCTCCGCCCGAAAAAGCACAGGTTGTGGTCAGCTAGCTCCCCATACCCCTCACACATTTCGCTGCTACCTTCTGATGTCCTCAGAACAGAAGGCCAGGCGGTAGAAACTGACGACAATAATTTCCCTCCAGAATACACTACAGATTGAGGGCTCCATGATGAGGGGATGAGGGGGCCTACGGGTAAATTATGGGGGTCGGAGTTTACATGTAGATCTAGACGCCGAGAGTGAGTCACAACGGAGTGTCGAACCAACCCACCCAGCAAGAGGTCTCACGAGTGATATTTATTGACGTCTACTCTTTCTTGTGCACGGTTACAATGAATACTGAATGCAGTGATGGTAATCCAAGTGACACGATATGTAGAGCTGGCGGTAGTAGTGCAAGAAGTGGTGCGGTAAAAGTATAAACAAACGCTGTATTCACGTGCGAAACGATAGATAGATTAGTCAGTCAACGGCTAGTCGCCGATCCTAGGGCACGCTGATAGACAAGAAATGGTTGTACTTGTTCATAATATTGTGTTGCCTATTTTTATGCAGATTATTGGCTATTGGCGGCTTGGTGGACTTTTGTCACCGTCGGTCAAGTTGAGGGGGTAAAGCATTTTGGTGCGGGCATCGTTCGTGGTAGTAGCACTTGTCATCTGGCAACAAGCCTGCGTATATATACTGCTTTGAGGATTATCATTTGTTCATTTGTTGTTGTCCTAGCAGCGGGTTTGTTGGATTCATTCGTTCATATAGAGGGATCGAGGCTACAGCATATGGTGCTTCTTGGCGAAGGTGTCCTGTGTCCTCGACATTTTTGTTCCCCAATACGTTCTTGGGCTTATGAGTTTGATTGCGGTTATTTCTCTTGTGTGACGGTGTTTCGTACGAAGGATTGACATATTTTGATATGTCATGGTTGAAGCCTAAGAAAGTAATAGAGTTGAAAAAATATGTTCTGAGTTTTGTTCGTAATGCCCTCCCCCGGTCAGCTTCGGTGCGGTTCTGGCAGGACAGCCGTGATACACCAGGGCGGGTTGAGACTCGAAATTAACTCGTGCCCAAATAAATACTGATGGAAAGTTCCCATGGCAGCTCAACACGAACGTGTGGCGGGAGCTATCACTGCACTGCATGCAATGCTCCCAACTGCTGTCACAATACGATACACTGTATAGTCTATGCACCACGTGATCAACCTTTGATCATTCCGTGGTATCTATCGGAAGCGTATCGAACGTGGTCGACACCGTCCGTTGATATCCTTCGTCAAGAGCGGTACCACCCTTGTCATCATGTAAACTTGACTCACAGTTAGGCTGACGCGCACTGAATAATTCATGTGCAAATACTACGTGCTCCTCCGATTAAGAACTGGCGAACGTGCTTACGTACAAACCTCATGGGGGGCAACCCTTGCGTGCATTCGCTGAGGACGCCCCGATTCTCTTGCTTCAATCCTCCTCTCTTTCCTCCCTGTTTATACCCAACTTCAAGCATCTACGATGCAAAATAGTACCAGGACGTCCTGAGGAAGGATCAAGTATCACCATGGCGTGCCAAAAGCAAGAGTACTGCGTTCTACAATCAACCTATCACATGTAACTTCACAAACGATGAGTACTCTCGGGAATACGGAGGCGTAGACATATCGCAGCCTAAAAACACCTCTCTACGCGACTGCCAAGACACCAAGAACACTACTCTATACGGGAGAAGCGAGGGCACAAGCCGCGTCACCCGTGGCCTACAGGAAGAGTCCTGCGTTCTACACCAGAGCAAAAACTGTAGTTACGCCCCCCTTTCGACTACGCCTGATTGGGGGGAGTGTGATGAGTGTACGATCATCGAATCCGGCGAGCGACAACAGACAAAAAAGTAAGAATAAATATATGGTGAAAACAAATCGGATGACAACACGAGTGGGAGACGAAGATTTCACCTCAACAACAACAGAAAAACAACAAATACAAAAACAGCATACCAGTGAACAAGGAGTTTCCAAAACCCCGCTCGCCAACTGCACGCGTGCCCAAATACTCTTTCAAGAACGCGTGCCCAAACAATTCTACCAAGACGCGTGCCCAAGTAATACACTTTCAAGAGCCTCAGGTTCCAACGCTCACCTGCCGGTCTCTGCTATCGCTGTTGCCAACAAGAAACACGGAGGAACATTTCATCGAACCAGCGCGGGGCCTCTTTGACAAGAACGCCAACAACGTACTCACAAAAAAAAAAATGTTTATGTGCCACCAAACGTTTCTCCGTGCGTTATTGTCTGTCGACGACACGCAGGAAACGTTCTTCCTCCGGACACAGACAGCAGTGCACTGCCACAACACACACACAAACACAAGCGCGTGGTCACTTTCTACTTTGCAGCAGCATGCCTCGCCGCCAGGAAAAGGGTGACGCCAAGGGTAACAACCGCGCGGGGCACGGCCGTTGCTGTGGACCAAGCAACGCGAGCGGCGCCGTCCCCCGCCTCCTCCGCAGCCCCGTCGAAGTCGCCCCCGCCCGACGAGGTGCCTGCCGAGTTGAAGCCGCTACCAGCACCAATGCCGCCGCTTCCAGTGTCGTCGTTGCCCGCCACCGGCGATCGAGTCGCCGCCGGAGCCTCGCCGCCGTCACCGTCTGCTGAAGCGATCGGAGCAGCGGGCGTTGGGCTAGCGGTCCCCGCCAAGGACGAACTTCGATCGAATGCCGTAGGCGCGCCGGTGGGGGAGGCGGTGAAGACGCTTTTCATCTCACCTCCGGGACCGAACTGCACGGGCGCAGTCGTCGCCGCCTCTGTGGGAGACGGGCTGGGGACGGGTTGGGTCTGCGCGGCGCTCGAGTTGCCGCTGTAGCACGGCATGTCTTCCAGAGAGCAGCCGAAAGCGGGGCCGGTGAGGACGCACTATTTTTTTGTTGGGAGGGGGGGGGGAGGGGGAAGGGAGAGGGGGGATGAGCTTCGAAATACCAAGCGGAACGTTGCTATGCAATGCTAAAATTTTTGTGGCCGAGCAAAACATCCCGTTCACTCCAACAAGTCCCCTTCGACTGTGGTATTATCTCGAATGGGCACACCAGTCTTTCTTTGATTGCACGTATACTTTCTAGAGACAGCCGACTTAGGTTTGCGGGCGGGTGACCTCGATCGCCCGAATAACAAGCATAGCCTGAGAGCCACACGGGAGCCACGCCCTCCGCTCATGATCACCCCCCCCCCGCTCGAAAACGTTGGGCGCGCTCACCTCCCAGTAGAGGGCCGTGGGCTCGTTGCCCAGGCAGCGCTGGGCCGTGGAGGCGTCTCCGTAGTAACAGCAGAACGTGGCAGCGAGCTGCTCGCACGCGCTGCTATTGCCGCTCGCGGCGGCCGCGGGGTAGGCCTCCCGGCACGTCAAGCTCCCGCCGGAGGTGGTGAGGGACTGACACTCTTGGCAGAGGTCGTCCGTTCCGCACCAGGCGTCGCCGCTGTCGCAGTAGTCGTAGGTGGACGTGTCGGAGTAGCTGGTGTCGGTGCTGTTGCTGAAGAGGAAAGCTTCGTCGTCGTGGCCCAAGGCCTCGCCATCGTCGTCGTTGTACGCGATGGCGGCGCTGCGCCTGACGGGGAACGGTTCGGGGAACGGTTCCGGCTCGTCGTCGTCGTTCCCCAGGGCGTCGCCGTCGTCGTCGTTGTACGCGATGGCGGACTTCGTCAGCATTGTTGGCGGAACATCCGAAGAAGAAGAAGAAGAGGCTTCGGTGGTGGTTCCTTGAACGGCCGATTGGGCCAAGCTCATGGTGGGGCGTGTGGTCAGCAGAAGCGTCAGGAGGAGGAGGTGGAGGAGGAGGAGGGAATCCGCCCCTCGCCACATGCTTTTTGCTGCTGCTGCTGCTGGCCCCCACGAACGCTGCTGATGTGTCACGATTGTTGTTGTGCTCCGCTCCGCTCCCGACCCTATTGCTGGTCGCTCTGCTTCAATCCCCCGAGACCTGCGGAAACAAAAAGTATTATTCGCACGTGCAGCACCCGCAATGCAATACGTTGAAGTCTTCGCCGAATATTTGAATCGTGCACACGGGATTCACTGTTGTTGGAATTTCGGAGTTTCCGAAACAAATATGTGCGTTGCACGTACAAACATCGCTTCCTGCACCTCCCGGGATACATGGTCGGATTCTGAAGATCGACACAACCAGCTTGTCTTCTCCCGCCCGTCACCCACAGGGGATCTCATGTTGTGTTAGGATTATTGAAGCTTGAAACTTCGGCAGTATGGTATATGCGTGCGTTGTTGTCCTTGTCGTCTTCGCATTTTAACCGGTCTCCCCTCAGTACCCTATAGTATCCGTGATGGTCTAACTGACGCGAACGCCTTGCTTCCGTGCTCGCAAGCCAACTACTCAAAGAGCGCATACACACACTCGTAAAAAAAGTTTGTCACTTCTTCTGCCCTATCCTGAATATTTCGTTTCTGTCTTATCACAAACAGTAGCCTACGCAGAGCACAAAATGATTAATTAAGCAAACACATGGGATAAAGTATTCAATCTGTTCTTTAGGGTTAGGGATGGGGTTAGGGAGAGGGTCTGCGTGCCCCCTCGCTATTCTTTTTCTAGATACTCTTCAATCCTGCGTAGGCCGTCCATCACAAAACACGGTACCGTCCGAAATGGATTCTGGTGAGCCTGCCAGAGGGTATACGGTCTGATTCAGCACATCGGAGTCATCACCGCGGGTTGTGCGAGGATTTGGAAGGATTGGGAAGGAAAAACTACAGCAGTAGTAGACTAGAGGTTGACATCGCTTCTGTACAAGAATTTAATGTGAAGCCAACAACAACAAGAAGGATATTATGCACAGATTTATATTGTTTGCCTGATGTTTCGTTTCGTTTGGCAACACATAAAATACAAAAATACCCGAGCTTCTTAGGTATTTAGGCCATCTAGGAGGCCGGTCGCCCCGGTGGCCTAGTTGGTATCCTCGAAACCTTCTAGAGGTCAGGTCAGGGGTTTGAATCCCGGCGTAAGCGAGCTTTTCGTGCAACGTGAGTTTTTCTCTCGCTTCCGCTCCTGGCCTAGTGGATAGCGCTAGTTCGTGTGTACACAGAGGGAAGAGAGTGCTGAACTCTTCTCGCATTAAAAACCGAAGGCAACGTACCGCAGGAGAGGAGGGTAGAGAAGGGCCCTTCTGTGTGACCACGGGTTGGAGTAAACGGCACTAGTGCTGTGAGCGCTGATTTGAAGTGAAGACAAAAAAAAAAAAATCTGCTGTGTGGAATCGTTCGTCGAGAGAGGCGCCCTGCACGACAATACCGCTCCAAATTCGGAAGAAAATTCAAAGGTCGTCTGTCATGCCACTCTTCCAATATAGAATCAATCCCCAGTGTTAAAGGCGGTCGGTGCCGGTGTGATGGGAAGAAGACGGCCTCAAACTAGCTGTAGCCAGACGTTTCAAGGCGCCAAAGAGCGCTGTCACGCTTGGAATTACGATGCTATCGCTCCAACTACTACACCAATAAGCCGAGCAGCACGTGGCCTACTCTAAGAGTGAGAGAGAACGTAATGCTGTGCGCAGCAGTACATCTACTGTATGTCTATGTATGTATATGCTACAACGAACAATAGTTTCCCGTCTGTGGAGCAACGTGTTTGGCAACCAATTTCGATACGGCAGTACCGTGTCTGTGAGTCGTCGGCATACGTTGTTGTTGGTGGCTATCTTCTCTTCCACAATTATGTCGGAAGCCTGAGACGCAAGAGTTCAACCATTGTTGCACTCTAAAAGCAAGGCGTTTTTTTTCGGTGCATCAGTTCGCGGTCGCCTTGAGGCTGTTTTTGTCGCCGGCTGTTGCCCGCTGCAGCGGGCTAGTCTCTGGATCACAGCGCCCCTGTCCAAAGGCGGGTAGAGTTACAGCACGGTGAATGCACGCAACCACTATTATTTCAGTCATTGAGCTAGACGTTGCGGTGTGGTAAATCGGTTTTAATTGTTTTTAAATGGGGTTTAAACATTTTCTTCGGCCGTCTTCGCCGACGTGGGCGTGCCACTCTCACGATCACAGCGCCCCTGTCGCGAGCTCTAGACTCCAAGGGCGAGCCGAGTTACAGCACCGTGAAGTACGACTAAATCTCCTGCATCCGGGGGCGTCTACGGTAGGGACTGTCACCTCAAAGAATCACGAAGCTCATTGGACGAGATTTGGGAGAACGCCAACTCATAAACCATGACCGACCACCACGCACCACGCACGTTGTTGTTAATAGATGTAGCACCGACGGCGGATTTTACTGTAATTGTGCCGCTTGGTGTCAACTAGATATCGACAGACTGCGGTCGTCACCTTCTCTAGCGTAAGCAACGCTAACTACTTGTAAAGTAATTACGTCACAGTCCGTGCATCGTGTATCTTGACGCACGTGCACACGGCAACGTATACATGCATGCCTGAGATACACACACACCCGCCAAGTGGCAAGTACAGGTCTACAGCTGCTGCTGTAGGAAGGAAATGAACAGGGTTAGTTAATTTTATTGTTGTGGTACGCCATCAAAGCTGGCTTGTGCTTTGAGTTCTCGAACACGCATGCACATCTCACGGAAAATTGCAAGTTTGTTTGTCTTCTGTAATACTGTCAACGACGCTGTACAGTAAAGTAGTATTGAAGATGCTACCGTAGCCTATACACTCTATCTACTCCCGTATACAGGTGAACGGTAGAGAGTTTACGTACGTTTGTTGTGCAGTGTGCCACAACAAGTATACATAATACCCCTGCCTGTCTTTCACAGGTAAACGGTAGATATATACAAATAGATCATGTTTTAGTCGTCATACCACAATGTACAGTATGTCGGGATGCTCATTTCGTGGATACCATAACAAGCATTTAGTGGAATATTTCCTGGAAGTTAGTCAGAAGTTAGTCGGTATAGAGCGTGAAAGCGTGACCTTTTTGGGGTTGCTTTTTTATTGTTTGTTTGTTGTTGTACGCCACAGCTTCGTAATCTAAAATAATTTCGCTTGTGCTTAGAGTTTTCGAACAGGACATTACATACATGCATTGCATGCACATCGTGAACTGCAAGTAAGTTTGTTTCTGTCGTCTTCTGTAATACTGCCAACGACATGCTGTGGTTTGAAGGTGCTGCTGTAGCCTCTACACTACAGTACCATATACAGACAGACAGGTGAACGTCTTTTCCAGCTTCGTGCCCTTGGTATGCTGTGCCCAGTCTTCCCCCACCACCCTTTCCTTTCAGCGTAATACTGAGCGGCGCCTGGCGCCCGGGCCCCGAGACCTTGTTTTACTACGAAGACGATCCGACACGACCACATTACCCTGGCATGCGGCGGTGCTGCAGGGAGCTGAGAGGTTCATGACCTCCTGGCACGAGAAGGAAGAAGAGGCCAGCCGACAACGAGCGCTCAAACGAAACCGCAAGCCAACAACCAATGGGGCGGGAGGGGGGCAGGAGACGGACGAGACGGCGAGGGAAGAAAGCAAACGAGAAGAGACGGACCGAGTGGCACGATACGTGCCGGATTGAATTTCTTTTAGCCAATTCCCCCCCCCCCAACGCTGCACCATTGAACCAACTCCCCAGTAGTGATGACGTACCATTACAATGTATCGCTGGTTGGTGGCCATGTTCGCGTGTTTGCTTGTTCGTTAGTGGTCTCTCCACCGTGTGCCTTGTTCTGCCTCCTATTTCTTGTTATTTTCGGCCTGGTCCCTGTTTGTCCTCGCTCTTTTTCATTTTTTTTTCATTTTTTTTTCTCTTCTTCTTACTGGTTCCATTTTTTTTTATTTTTTCTCTCTCTTTTTCTGTGCCAGATGGCCTTGTCTCTGCTTGCGTTGTGAAGTACCAAGATTGAAACAAGGGGGTGTACCTCTTTCTATCCGGCCCATGATAGATAGTGACTCCTAGTTTCAGT